CTGCGAGCTGAGGGGCTTCAACTGGGGTGGCTGCAATGGAGCCGACAAAAATCAATGCCCTGAGAGTAAGTGGTTGGTAGTAGACGTGGACTTGCTGAAGAGTGAATGTTGTGATGTGAGAGGGGAAGAAGTCAAGAAATACTTACAGGTTTCTGGCATGACAATTAAGCTAAAGTGGTGCCACTTTCTAACATGGAAGAAGACTTTGATGAAAAATGTTTTTAGGACAAAAATCAAGAGCTCTGTTTTAATCATGATATGTTTGAGAAATATCCAAGTGCAGAGGTCAAGTAGGCAGTTTGATGCTGAAATGTAAAGCTCAGAGAGGAGTCAGCACTGCAGATTAAATTTGGTTGTTATGGTAATTAAATTAGGGGAGTAGGTCGTATCATTTAGGGGAAGTGGCAGAGAAAGAAGAAAAAGGACTAGGACTGAGGCCTATGAATGCTGACATTTAAAAGGCAGATAATGGAAGAACAACAATTTAAAACAAGAAGGCTGGTGTAAATAGGAGGAAAATCAGAATATAATGTAATGGCAGCTATGACATAACAGGATTTTAAAAAGCAGAGAGTGACCAGAGATGTGTAGAATATGTTTGAAAAGTCTAATGAGTTGAGTGCATAAACATGGTCCTTAGCCACAGGTGTGGCCATGCGATTTGGCATCAAGGAAATCACTGGTGACCCTGATAAGAAAAGTTGTCATTGACCAAGGAGAGCAGAAGCCGTACTGGGGTGAATTGAGACATAAATGGAAAGAGAAATCGAGTCACTGTTTTCAAATTTTTCTCTTGAAAATAGAGAAATGGGTTGATATTTGTAGGAAAAGAGGAGAGAGAGAGAGAGAGAAATTGTCCCTATAGGAGAGGGCTGGGAACAATTGCAGACTAGATGCCTCTGAGGAATGAGAAACCCAGAGCCCAGGTGGAGGCTTTGGTGGGAGGAAGGACACTTCATTGAAGTTATCTGGAGGAAAGATGTGGATGTCAAATGCTGTGCTGACTGAAAGGCTCTGCCAACTTTTAGTCCAGAATGACAAGCCACAAAGCTGCATTTGCTCAGGACGGCAGGCCCACCTGCAGCAGAGTGGTGATCACAGCAACAATGCCACTAAAAATTTCAAACCAGCTCTAGATGAACTTAGGGAAATTAAAGCCAGAAAAATGTGATTGGTGAAGATGTTGCCAAACTGTCTTGTGGTATGATTTCAAGATCTTAAGATAAATCTAGAGACAATGGGAGTTCTGGGTTTGGGAAAGAGTTTATAATTTTGCTTTTTCTTTTTCTATTCTAAGAGTCCATTTATTGGAAAATGAACCAGATACAACCTTGGACACAGATTTCCTGATGAGATACACAGAAATTCTGCAATACAAAATATAATACTTTGTAAACATTTTTCTCCACAAAAAAAGATGGTCATGGTGAGGTCAATGTACTAAAATAGAAATGTGTCTGAAAGTATATTCTTTGAAATGAAAATAAGACTGAGCTAGGAATACCAGACCAGGTCAAAGTTATGGATGCCTTGAATATAGTAATATATGTCTAAACTTTACTAAGAAATAAGGATATTAGGCATTTAAAAATAGTATACAAAGTTATATAGAACAAAAAGAAAATACGATTAGACAATTAACTTCTTCATTTGCCTATTTAAAAAATTTTAACCTACCTGTCTCTTTAACCACATTTTCTGCCTTTCATTTTCAATGGAACAAGTGTTCTTGATCCTACAAGAAGCCTAAGCCTCTTCTGTGCTCTGGGTTCGACCCCTTTTATTATTCAAAGACTGTACTCTTTCAGTTATCCTCGCTTCTAATGCACCAAAAATCTTTCCCTGTTCTTCTGGTTAATTGTCACCAGCATAAAAGGATAATCTAACTTTTCTAGCATTTTCTGTCTTTAAAGAAACTTTTCTACACCCATGTCCCTGTTAATCTTAATAATTGCCTCATTTCTCCCTAGCAATTTTCTTTGAACTCAATAAAACCAGGCTTTCATCCCCTTCATCCCACTGGAGCCTGTCTCGTCAAGTTGCCCGGAGCTTTATGTCACATAGTCTTTGTGCTCATTCTCTTCACACTTGATCTCTCACAGCATCAAATATAGTATGCCATTCTTTCTTTCTTTCTGTTAATTTGAAATATATAAAATTTATGTTTTTGTAGGTCTAGATATAGGCAATTTTATTTGGCTCAATCTAATAGTAATTTTTTTCTTAACATGATTCCAGTGCCCAGGTTTTTTCTTCCCTCAATATTGATTCCTTATCAATCTTGTTCCTACCTTCACCTCCTTTATTCAATGTTAACTCTCTGTCATTTTGTACTATAGCTATCATCTTCTTCCAGGTGATCTCACTTGTCCTCATGATTTAGACATCTTCTTTGTGCTGATGTCTCTTATATTTATATCTTGAGCCTCCTCTTCTATGAGATCCATAGTCATATTATGACTACCTACTCACCATATACTTTAGGTGCCTAATAAGTATCTCAAACTTAACATGTCAAAATAGAATTCTTGGTTTTCATATCAACATGCTCCTCTCCTTGTATTCTTCATCTCAGTAATAGCACCATGGTATTGCCAAATACATCAGCACAAAAGCTGGGAGTCATTCTGGATTTCTGCCTTTCTCTGATTTCCCATATCTAGAAAGTCCTCTTATTGCTTTTGCCTCTAAAATAATACCACATTCATCCACTCTTTTCCATTTGTAGCATTAATAGCCTAGAGCAGAGTTCCTCAACCTTGGCATAATTGACATTTTGGGCTGAATCATTTTTTGTTGTAGGGATCTCTCCTGTGCATTGTTAGGTGTTTCACATCATCTCTGGCCTCTACCTACTAGATGGGAGTAGCACTCTGGTTCCAAAATGTGACAATCAAAAATATCTGCAAACAATGCCAACTATGCTCTGAGGCAAAATTGTCCCTGGCTGAGAATCACTGCCCTACAGCAATCTGCCATGGGTGCCTCTTGCCTGGATTGCTGTCATAGCTAACGATGCAGGTCTCCCTTGTTTCACTTTTGACCCCTACATGCAGTTTTCCAAATAGCAATAAGATAAGTCTGTTTAAAGTCATAAATCAATTTATGTCATTTTCCTGATTAAAACACTTCACTAATAATAAAACCAAATTCTTCATGTAGCCGTCAAAGCTCTGTATGACATAGCCATTGCTCACATCTCTGATCTCAACTCCTATAGCTCATCATATTGCAACCGCACCATTTCACAAATATACTAGGCTTGTTACTAAGAGTCTCTGCACTTGTTCTTTCTTATGTCTGGAATGTTCTTTCTTACCGCTCAGATCTCAGCTTAAATGTTTCCTCCTAAAGAAAGTAGATCACAGACAACTTATTTAAAATATCATGCATGCTACATCACTCCCAGCTGTGCTCTATGACAATCTCTTCTTAGCCTTATCACTAGCTAGGGAGATCTCATTTATTTGTTTACATGTTTATTGTCTGCCGACCCCCAGTAGGCTGTAAACCCCATAATAGCAAGGACATTATCTTTCTTGTTCACCTCAGTGTATATATTTATTTATTGAATGAACAGATGAAAAATTGAAGAAATTAACTTTTATAATAATGAGAGTTATAATAACATGATGAGTGATAGTCACAGGTGGATGTGCCAGCAATCAACTGTAAGATCTTTGATGAAGTTATCATAAAATAATAATAAAAAATTCCCGATAATAATTTTCTGCTAGATGATATCTACTAGATGATATATAAGGTCTTTCTGGTTCTAAAATGTGTCAGTAGCTCTTCAAATCACTTGACGGCACCGCATTCTATGTATAAAATTCCCTTAGGACACTCTTACTTTGTAGAATATTGTTAAAATTCCACATAGAGAAGAGTGTAAAAGCTGTTTGGATACTTGATTTTCTTTGCCTGCCTTATCACAAAGTTGTAGAAAATACAAATGGAATCATATAATCTTGTTTGGAGTTGGATGAGTAAACCTGGTAATCCTCTAATAATAGCTATCCCAGGATTAACTTACAATGTGGACAAAGAATTCACCTCACAATATCACCTTTGACTGAATATACCTTTGATTTTTCAATAGAGTTTGCTTGCAGGTATATTCAGTGTAACAACTCTTCAATAAACATTTGTAGCCTCAGGCAGTGTTCCCTCCAGAGGTTGTGATACAGCAGTGAACAAAGTAAACAAGTCTCTGCTCTATAATGTATACAAATGGTGATAAGTATTAAGGAGGAGAAGAAAAATGAAGCAGGAAATAGGCATAGACTGCAATTATAGTAAGTGATATTTTATGTAAGTAAGGGTAGACCACTTTGATTTAAGGTACGTATTTGAGCACAGACCTAAATTATAATAAATGAGGGAGCAAAAACTGTGTGGGTACCTGGGAGAAGAGTGTTCAGGAGAAGGAATGGCAAGTATTAAGGGGTGAGGAACAAGAAGGAGTCAGCGTGGCTGGAGCACAAAGAACAGTGGCAGAAGTTAGGATCAGAGGAGAAGACATTGGATTATACTTTTTAAGGTAAAAATTTATACACAGTAAAATGTACAGATCATAAGTACACAAATAATACAGAATATTTCCATCACCCTAGAAAATTCTCCCTTCCAATAATTCCAGTAGCATCACAGGTGACCATTGTTCTGATTTTTATCACTAGAGATTCATTTTGTCTGTTTTGAACTTTATATGAATGGTATTATACAATATGCACTCTTTTGTGACTAGCTTCATAATGTTTTTGTCCAGATTTATCCATGTTGTTGCATATGTTGGATAATCATTCTTTTTATTTCTGTGTATTATTCCATTGTGTAAATATGTCACAATTTCTTTATTGAATCTCATGGATAATTGGGTTATTTCCAGTTAGGGGATATTGTGAATGGAGAGTTGCCATGAACATTTGGGTATACATCTTTTTGTAGACATATGTTTTCATTTTTTTGCATAAATACTTAGGGTTGAGAATTCATGATTAAATGACAGATGCATGTTTAACTATGTAAAAAGCTTCCATGTCAATTTTTCCAAAATGATGCTCCATTTTACATACCCACTGAAATGCACAAAAGTTCTATTTCCAATTTTTGTCATTGTCTTTTAATTTTAACTGTATTAGTGACTGGTGTTGTTGATGATGATTTAACTTGCATTGTCCTGATAGCTAGTGATGTTAAACACTTTCTCATGTGCTTGTGGGACAATATTTATCTTCTTTTGTAAAGTGTCTGTTTGAGTCTTTTCTTCCATTTTAATTGAGTTGTTTTTCTTTTTATTATTGATTAGTAGGGGTTCTTTGTATATTTTTGTTATCTTCCTGGTGTAATCATGTCTCTTCTATGGTGGTTTCTCTTTGGTGAACATTACCATGCATTATAAAGATTGTCACACTTGGTGCTTATTTCCATATGTATACTTATGTGTCTCTATCCCAGACCTCCTTGTTCCTGATCTTCCAAGTAACTGGAAGAAAGAAAAATCCAAGACATTTGTCATTGCCCATGAATTTGTGTGTTTTCTAAGCTCAGCTCAGGAAACTTCTCTTTCTATACAGAGTAAATGACCAGGTCACTGCTCAAAGCTTTCCTCAGTGGGAGGGTTGCCCCTCATTCCTGTCTTTCAAGACTTGCATCAACATATTGAGCCAATCCATTTGTGAGCCAAGCTCCAACTTATGCTGCCCCATCAATTGGCGATAATAGTTCCCCTGTGTGACCTGGGGGAGAGGCACTGGTAGAATGGTAGTGGACAACACGGGTGTCTGGGTCATCTGATCATGTAGATTGCATGCTCTGCCCAGTCCTGCCTCTGCTTGATCCCAGATATATCACTTCTATCTTCCTATGAATTTCTGCTGGGCCTTCTCAACCTTATGACTTGGTGGCTGTGACAGAAATCAGCTCAGGGTCACGGTGAGAACATTATACATTTCTGCTGAAGATGGTATGGCCTTGTTCTGAAACTGATGGTGTCTGCATTGTGATTCCTGAAGTAGGCCTTGCCATCTCTAATGGCATTTTTGTGTCACTGCTGTTTCCAATGCTATAGGATGTGTCAGGTTATGTGGCCCCCGGGCAGGGCTACTCGCACTGCTGCCTGATCTACTGCAAAATCTTTTCTCTTACTCAGGCCCCATTGAAAGCTGGCAGCACTTCACGCCACACAGAAGAGAGATGGCATTATTCTGCTGTGGTGCGTGCTGCCTCTGCGATCCAGAGGTCTCCTCGACATGTGCTTCCTTATTCATGGTGGGAAGTGCAAGTGTAAGAAGCAATAATTTGCCCTGTGGGATGAGGGGATGTCTCAGAATGCCCCAGGACAGTGGGCCCTAAAATTTTTAGTAATGTGGCAGTCCCTTAAAACTTCTTAGAGGTTTTCTCGCCCCTCTGGAACACTTGTGTCCTGCCAAGCCCTCCATGAATAGTCACTTTTTGTTCATGTTCATTGTGTCCAATTAGCATGTTACTGATATAGTTAATGGATGTGATAGTCTTCCGGATGCACAGCTAGTTTATGTCTCTTCAGAGTATATTATGGCAGAAGACAGGATAGTTAACATAGTCTTAGGGTGAGAATGTAAATGTATGGCCCATTTAGGAGCAGCCCTAGAAGCACTCTGTTGATACCATCTCCCAGGGCCTTACCAGGGCGTTGAATTCTGTATTCTGGTGTAGTGTTTCCTAGCTGATAACCACATGCTCCGCACCCTTGGTTGCACGCCCTCCGATTCCAGCGCTGTGCACGATCTCTCAGCTCCTGCTGGTGAGTGCCGGCTAGGTTCTTTCATTTCTTCAGGATACGGTCCCTTTCCTTCCTTATCAGGCCCAGGCTATCTATAGCCCAATTTTGCTATTAATTAAGCCTACTTACAGATCTATTTACCAGGAAGGAAGATGAGGGGAGATCCTGGGAATGCTCATGTCTTGCTGGGGAAAAGCCTCTGCACGGCCTTCAAGAAATGAGAGAATGCTAGTCGTTAAGAAGAGAGGCGGTTACGTCCACACACCAGGTCAGTTAGAGGAGTCTGAGACTTGCAATTTGCAGTGCCATCAATCCCATCCCATGTGCACGGCTTCGTTTCCCAGCCGGAGCCCTGATTTTGGCATGACAGATACACATTTTAAAAAGTGTTACCTTCTTTAGAGCTCTGCTGCTCGCAGTGTTATGTCCCGGCCTTGGTCTTCGGCTTTCCCTGTCTTTCCACTGTGGAAACGGAGAGGGGCTTTTGATGCTGCCAAAAAGGTATTCTGACTTCCACACTCAGCTTTCAGTTGCCAATTATCTTTTCATTGCCTTTATCTGCAACATTAATCAAACTTTGCGATTATCACCCAGTTCCTAACTAGCAATTTCCTCACATTTTTCAAACTCGGTACAGCTAACACATTCTTTCCCACTGGCATATAATCCCAGTTCACCTCTGGGGAAGCCCTAACAATTGTTAGGGGCCATCTGTGCTCACTGCCAGCCTCGGAATGAGTGATCCAGCTCCAAAATTCCAACTGCCATGGCTTTCTTGGGTCCTTCCTGGCACCAAATGTCACAAATCTGTTTTCCTGGAAGGCAGAGTCTGAGATTAAAATTAGCACGCTGAAGACTAGGAAGGAAGTGCTATTTTTGGCTATTAATTTTTCTTCTAATATTCTTCCTGTCCCACTCTTGTCTCATCTCTCCCTTTTGGACTCTAATTACACATATGTTATTTCAGTTAATATTGTCTTTTAAGGTACTAAAACTGTCCTCATACTTTTTTCAATTTCATTTTGTTCTTCACATTGGATAATTTCTATTAATCTGTTTATAATCTCACTACTTATTTATTCTACTCATATTATATTCTCATATTATAATATGGTGTTTAGACTACCCAGTGAACTTTTCATTCCAGACATTGTACTTTGAGCTTTAAAAGTTACATTTCGCTACTTTTTTGGTCATTTCCATTTCTCTGTTGATACTCCCAATCTGCTCATTCTTATAACTATCCTTTCCTTTAAGACATCAAATATACTTATAATAAGTTCTTTAAAGTTCTTTTCTCTTAATTTCAACATCTGTATTTTCTTGAGGTCCATTTCTATATACTGAAGGATTTTGAAAAGAGCAGTGACATGCTCTAAAATTATGCTTGTGAAGTGCCACTCCAACTGCCATGTGGTAAATGGGGTACAAAATGCAATGTAAATGTAACTGGAGTAAATAGGGGTACAAAAGTCAAATAATGAGCTCTACCTACTATGCATCATAGTTAGATGAGGGATGGTAGTGGTTTGTTCTTGGGTGGTAGCACCGGTGTGAATGAGAGGAGTTGGGCTCTGAACAATCAGGTCTTGCTGATAGATCAGTGAGAAAATGGGGAGTAAATTAAAGGATAAACCCATGGCTGTTGTACTCAGTGGTAAAAATGGGGTTCCTGCTTTGAAAAATGTTTGGGAAGGGGACATGGCCCAGAGTTCTGTTTCAGCAGGTTAAATAATAGATGTCTATTAGATATTCAAATGGAGATACCAAACAGGCACTTGTATAATATAATGAGTCTTGGAGTTCAGGGCCAGGTCCTAGATGTTATAAACTTGGGAATCAAAAGTACATGGGTGGTGTTCAAAGCCACACGGCTTTAAGTAGGTGTGAGGACGGGCCCTGGTGTGCTCAAATGGACAGAGGTTTCAGGCATGAAGAGAATACAAAGCTTGAAATGAGGTAGGAGCAGAAATGAGAGAGAGTGGTATCCAAAAGACGAAGTTAATATGGCTCAAAATAAAGAGGGTGATCAGCTTGTCAAATGTTGCTGTTAACTGGGAAAAGTGAAAAATATGCCATCACCCTCATCTAACTATAACGCATCATAAATGGTGTCTGTTATTTGACTTTTGTACCACTATTTATTGTAGTTACATTTACATTGCCTTTTGTACCCCATCTACCACATAGCAATTGGATTGGCACTTTAAAAACATAATTTTAGAGCATGTCACTGAGATTTGGAGGTTTGTTTCTTTAGTATATTAATGTATTAGTCAATACTGTATAATGTAACTTCTTGAATTCCTTGGAATTCAAATTCTGGAAGAGCTTAACTTTAACAGTCATGCTACTGAGAATCCTATATGAGATATTAACAATTTGGGACATTTTTATCCATAATAATGATTTCGTCAATGAAGATAGTTATTTTCCACTTATAGGAATATCCATTTATGAGTTCTTAGTCACTCATCCTTTCTAGTAACATTATAAAATTTATTTCTCTAATAATTAGATTTCTGAGAAGAGTAATTTATCAGTGAAATGTACAGTACAGCTCTTTTCCAGCAGAGTGCTACAGTGCTTGATAATGTGCCCATCAAAATATATTTTATTAATGCTATTTGATGTGCTATTATCACAGAGACTCCACTGCTAAAGTAGGTTGCCAAAGGACAATCTCAGGTCACAGAGTGAACATGGAAATTGTTTTCCTTACTGAAAGGCAGAAACCCAATTAAAACATCTGGGAGCGAAATGATATATGTTGACTCAGGGACACAATAAAAGACTGTGTAGAGGCAAAGGTACTTGTAGAGGGTGCCTAAAGTCCAGGCCAATCTCTAATGTCCCACCTGCTCTGTCCCAGAAAACCTATCAGCGTGGAAGGAACACTTTTATTAGTCCATCCAGAATAGGTGCCTTTTTGTAATCAGTCAGCATAGAGGAGGTACATTTCACTTATTAGCACAAATTAGCACTTGTGCACATGGAAGACCTGCAAAGGAGTTATGTCTGTAAAAGTATCCTTTTGAGCCTCATGGGTTCAGACAACAGTTTGAAATGGAATCTCTTTAAGTTTGATAGAATCCCCAAAACAGACTATTTCTAGCAGCTTGAGTACAAGTAAGCAAGAAAGGCCAAAGGCTGGCCTCAGATTACATCAAAGCAGCGTGGTTTTCCCCTGGGGTATATTTGGCAACATCTGGACACTTATTGGATCCTCACGCCTGGGGGAGGAGCAGTTACTGGGCATCTAGTGGGGGTAGAGGCTGGGGAAGCCACTGAACATCCTACAAATGCACAAGATGGCCTCCCCCGCCCTCCCAAAAGAAATATTCATTCCAAATGTCAACAGTGCCAGTTAAGAAACCCTGCCTTAAAGGTTATTACTAAGAAGAGAATATCCCTAATACCGAAAATCTAATTTTCTGTTTAGACCCATGGCCTATCTCCCCAGGACCCAGTGGTAAGGGCACTTTGTTTGTCGTGCATGCTCCCCTAAACCCAGTTAGCGACAGTGTCCTGCGTGTGCATCAGGCAGAGCATTTTTATTCAAAGGTGCTCGCTCTTACTCTAAGACAGAAGTGCTCCTTCCAATATAAAGTTCAGATTTTAGCTCTTAAGCTTCTTTCCATTTTTGCAGTTCCCAATCTAAGTCCTCTCAGAAAATAGGTTGGCATAAAGGGAGGGCAAGATCTCAAGTTCGTTCCTAGAGATAACTGTGTTGTTCCATGGGGCTGAACAACGAGGAAGCTTGAGCCTTGGCTGCCCTCCAAGGCAGTGCTCTTCTCACCCAGAACCCTAACCCTAACCCTACCCCCGCCCCTCAAACCCCCTCCCCCGCCCACCCCTTCCCGCCACCCGCGCCGCCAGTCCCCCCCCCCGCCAGCCCGCCCGCCCCGCCCCCCATCCCGCCCACCGCCAGGACACCCCCCTGAGCCGCCCCTGCCCTCAGCCCGCCACGACCCCGCTCCCGCCCCCCGCCCCGCCGACCCGCCGCTCCGCGTCCCCAGAGCGAGCGCGCGGGGCGGGCTAGTGGAGGGGGGCTGTGTCTCAGCCGGGCGGGTGGGGGGGTCTGGGCGGGAGGACCGGGGATTGGGGGGTTCTGGCGGGCAGGGCCGGGGTGGAAGGGTCTTGGCGGGCGGGGCCGGCGGGGACTGCGGGGCGGTGGGGGTCTGCGGGGCGGGGCCGGCGGGTCTGGCGAGCGGGGCCGGGTGGGGGTCTGGCGGGGGCCGCGGGGTCTGGGGGGGCGGGGCCGGGTGGGGGTCTGGCGGGAGGGGCGGTGGCGGGGTCTGGCGGCGGCGCCGGCGGTCGCTGGGGGCCGGGTGGCGGGCCTGCGGGGCGGGGTCTGGCGGCGGGTCTGCGGGCGGGTGGGCGGTTGCGCGGGGGGCGGGGTGGCGGTCTGGCGGACGGGGCGGGCGGCGGGGTCTGGCGGGCGGGGTGGCGTCTGGCGGGCGGGTGCGGTCTGGCGGGGCGGGGCGCGGCGGGGTCTGGCGGGGTCTGCGGGCGGGGCGGCGGGGTGGCGGGGTCTGCGGGCGGGGCGGCGCCGGCGGGGTCTGCGGGGTTGGTGGGGAGGGCGGGTGGCGGTCTGCGGCGGTCCGGCGGTCTGCGGGGCGGGCGCGCCGGCGCGCGGGGTCTGGCGGGCGGGGCGTGTGTGCGCCGGGCCGGTGGCGCGCAGCTTCCGCCCGCTCGCGGGAACATGGCGGCGGCGGGGCCGGCCGTGCTGGCGCTGCCGGCGGCGGCGGGGGCGCCGGGGCGCCGCCAGGCGCGGTGCCGGTGCTCTTCTGCTTCTCCGTGTTCGCGCGGCCCTCGTCGGTGCCGCACGGCGCGGGCTACGAGCTGCTCATCCAGAAGTTCCTCGGCCTGTACGGCGACCAGATCGACGTGCACCGCAAGTTCGTGGTGCAGCTCTTCGCCGAGGAGTGGGGCCAGTACGTGGACCTGCCCAAGGGCTTCGCGGTGAGCGAGCGCTGCAAGGTGCGCCTCGTGCCGCTGCAGATCCAGGTGGGTCCCGCGGAGCCCGCCCCCGGCCCGCCGCCGCCGCCCCCGGCCCGCCGCCCGGAGGTGGCGGCCGCCACGTGTGCAGCCCGGCGCGGCGCAGCCCTGTCGCTGTGCGGCGGGCGGGCCGGGGAGAGGGCGCGGGCGCCGGTCTCAGGGCTGCTCTCCCGGAGCTCGTTAACCACTGGCGGAAACGCGAACTTGTGGCGCGAAGGCCCGCCGCCTCTTCCCGGGCCGCGGTCCAAGCGGCCCTGGCCGGGAGCGCGCCGCCGCGCCGGGCCCGACCTTCCGCCCGCCGCGCCGGTCCACGCCGGGCCCGACCTTCCGCCCGCCGCGCCGCCGCGCCCGCCTGGAGCTGCGCCTCCGCCCGGGCCGCGGGGGCTGTCGTGCCCAGGGCTACTCCGTGGCGTTTTGTTTGTTTTCTAAAAGCCGTGCTCTAATACTAGACAGAACGGTCTTCTGTCTCCTGTCCCAGAGGATTCGCTGGAGAATTTTTGAGAGGAAAGAACGTAAGATTCTGTGGGTAATACAATGCCAGTATTTTGTATTTAGCTGAGAAACCGATAAGCTATGTTTGTTTGGAGAGCAAACTGAAATGTGGGATTTGGGGTTAAAGGGGATTTCAATACTCAAGTGTTATTTTGTTTCTTTTCTTAAAAAAAAATTATAGGTACGTAATAGTAGTACATATTTATGGGGTACATATGACATTTTGATGCAAGCATACAGTATGTAATGGCCAAATCAGGGTAATTGTGATATCAGTCACCTCAAACATTTATCATTTGCTTGTGTTGGGAACATTCTAAATTCTCTCCTTTAGTTATTTTTAAACATACAATAACCTGTTGTGCTACAGTACACTAAATCG